ATATATTTGAATTATTTTCAGAACAGTTAAAACCGGTTTGGAGCAACTACACATCATAGATTTGTTCAATGGGTTGGGACAGTGCACATTTTTACATAAATTTTTTACGCCATTTTTTAGAATTTCTCACTGTAAAACCGAAGCAATAACGTATAAATTGACGTATAAATGTTCACTACTCCATCAATCGGACAGAGAGAGAGGATGGCCGAGTGGTTAATGTATCGCTTAGGGGCATCCAAGAACGAATTCAGACGGGTCGAAAAATCCCAGAAAGTTTCAGGAGTTGATCCATTCCGTATATATCTTGTCCCGTCTCTCACCATCCGCAACCTCATTGTGGACCCGGTCGAACCTATTATTGGCCTGTTTAAAAGTCCCTCTTAGTGTCCACATGGAGGAAAGAGTAGAAACAACTCAATTATCCATAATTTAATTGCTTTTTCTTTATGAGTACTAATCGATTTACATAACATGCATTTTATATTAAAAATATAGGAAAAACATCAAAGTCGAACTCTAATCCTAAATAGGATTTAAATTATTTCTCCAAAAATGTGTTGCAAAGTTGCGTTAAATGGAGTAAATACTTCACAATCTTGTCATTAACCAATGAAATCGTTATTACTCAGTTCCGATTTTTCATCTGTTAAAAGTGTATAGATTTTCATCCTGTTATCCATGAAATTATTGAAATGTGATTTTGTGGAGTCATCATTTTACTTTTAAACAGGCAAGCACTCGTTTCTCATTATTAACATGTAGTAGTTGAATAAAATTAACGAATTATATGCTTTGTTAACCGATTCTCACACATCATAAGTAACGATGCTACGCTGTTCCAAAACATTTCTTTTTTCTAAGCTCTTTCAAAGTAGAATCTCTATTTTTTAACATTATTTTGAGTTCGAGTAATTATGTATTTTTTTTAATATTTAGATTAAAAACAATGACAGACGATGGAAGAAGAAAAAAATAAGAAACTAACATGGAAGAAATATTTTTACAGCCTTTCTTCATTTCATCTTTTTCCTCGCAAATTCTATGGTTTAGTCATAGAAATTCATCTTTATTCTCACAAATTCTATGGCTTTGGCCATGAAATTTACGAGAAAAAACATGAAATGAAAAAAGCAGTAAAAATATTTTTTTTCTTTTAATAAAATTCTCTTTATATTTAGAAGTCCGAATTTGGAATACTTCCTTCATGTGAATTAAATTTAATAAAACTTTTTATTTCTTTACAGTTCATATATTCAGTATGCATAGTCTAGATACAAAATAAGAGTTCCAAGTAGTCTATTTTCTTCAGTTTCGAGCATATAATAATAGTTTGTCTTTGTGATGCGGATATATTATTGTCCCAATACACTGTTCAATTTATTTGTTATATATATGGATTGAGTTTAATGGAAAACAGGATAAGATGTGAAAATCGATAACCTACATATACAAGAAATATATAAAATGCCAGTAATTAAAGCATATGTTATTTACAAATAAATAATAAGTAAGTAAATAAAGATANTTTTTTTTTTTAAGATATACACCCTTTTAATTTATTTAAACGGGGAAATATAAAGAAAGGTTCCGAACTTTCATGTTTACGTGGGCCACATAAGTCATATGACCTCTTGATGATAGAAATTCCTTTAGTTTTCGCTTCAGGGAAGGAATGAGAATGTTTAATTTTTTTTTCTTATTTTAAAATGAAAACTTTCTACATTATTCTGTTTACAAGAAAGAAAAAAATGGCGACGTATTTCAATTTGCGTAATTTTGTAGAGAAAATACACACAAAATTATTAATACAGTAAAAACTTGTTTAAAATAAAATCATAAACCTGTCTAAACGGAAAAAAAATCTCGGAACGGAAAGATTTTCTATAGAATATTATCTCAAGCCGAAAGCATGTCTAAGGCGGAATCGGAAGACTTTTTGGGCACCAATTCTGTAACATAACCTGAGTAAAACAGATCTTTTTCAGCGTATCAGCAGCTAAATTCTGAAATTAAAGAACATTTTATTGAGTTTTTACATAGATTTTCTTCTTTCTTCTAAGCACTACGTAAAAGTCTTTCAACATGTTTTTGAAACATAAAACACTTGTATTAAGCAGTTTTAAATATGAATTGAATATTTTATCAACATATTTTTGTGCATTAATAAAAACGTAACCCGGGAACAGTCCTCGGTAGTCCTACCTCTATAGTCTATTATATCAGGGATGGCCAACACGTAGACCGCGGTCGACCGGCCGACCGCAAAGGTTTTGGAAGTAGCTCGTGAATCTAAAGTTGAACAATTTGCTTTCACTTAAATTAATGTTTAAAAATCTTAATTTAATAATTTATTCTTACAATAATAGACTGTCTGTGCAAGGTACCCATAGTGTTTGTATTTATCCCGATAAACAATGCAAATGAATGTTAACGCATGCGCATATAAAAATCCTAAAATTGTTTGCCCATATTCATAGTTGCCCGCAGACTATATTTTACCAAAAAAGTAGCCCCTAAGGGATAAAAGTTTGGTCACACCTGTATTATATGATTTTCTCTACTGTCTTGTATATGAGTGACCTGATGAAACATACATACTAGACTTTCCTTCCACAAATGACAAAGGCATGTTAACATGCTTGATGTTATATGCAAATGCAAGGACTGTCGAGAGGGAAGCTGGGGATTTTTCCCTTACTCGGTAAAAACTTAGAGTCCATATTGGTCTATTTCTATAAATTAATAGGGTAGAGGCCACTTAGGATCCGCTCTATCATCGTCTTTATACCAAACTTTCGAGGCCCTGCACACATAAAACTATTAATAATATGATAAGCTTTGTTATAGTTTTAAACAGTTTTATGTATACAGTATTTTACACAGAAAATGGAAATAATTTTATAAAGTTATGTACGTAAAAAAATAATATTAACATTTCGAGAATATAAAAATTCTTTATCTAAATACAGTATCGAAGGTTTTATTATGTTTTATTATCTGGAAAAACATTGACACAGAAAACTTAAAGACGTTTTCCATTAAGAAAATTCTTTATTTTCTAAATAAAATATATTATCGCATATAAACGTAGGAGTATTTATTCAATATATAAACATTTTAAAGTTGAAGTAAACGTTCTGTTTATTCTAAATAATTAAGTTTAAAATAATAAAGGTTTCAAGTTTATTTATCATTATTCAGCTACTCAAACTCTTTAGTGAAGTTTTAAAATACAAACAATTTGTTATATATTTACATAAAATCTGAATATTATAGTTCATTTTTAAAACGAACCTGGCACGTTATAATGTTATATTTTTCTTCTGCGAGTTTTAAATTAAATTAATTAAAATAATTGCTTAATTTAAAATTTTAACATATTTAAAATTAAATTCATTAAAACTTTAGATCAATTATTTATTTGAATAATTTTAAATTAATTTATTTTTGTTTTTTCATAATGCCTTTAAATAGCAGTCTTCAAGTGACCGAGTGTATAAAACCACTGAATGGATTGTGGGTTCGCACCTGATTACGCAACGATCTGGAGTTTTCTGGGTTTTTTTAACGCATCTAACACTTAAACAGGAGTCGGGTTCTAATAGAAAGTACTCACGGAAGATACGTACCCCCTTAGCAAATGTTTCGTGGTCGTATCCCATCAAACCAAACTAAATCTTTAAACAGTATTTTATAGAAAATCTAGTTATTTAACATTTAAAAATTATAGAAGAATCTTTCTGAATTTATATGAAAAAATTTAAAGGATATTCCCAGATATTTTCACAAATTTTATTCAACATAATCTTGACGATAAGGAGAAATTTAATGGTACTTATGATAAAATAATAATTTCTTAAGTAATCGTAAGACTAGAGGCGAATCATCAAAACATTAATTTTACCCCAAAGATAGGCAAATCGATATCGAAAGATATTATTCTAAGGCATTACTATCGAGAAAAACAAATGTTAATTATGATAAATGGATAAATTAGATATTTACATAAGAGAATGGCTACTAACGATACTTTGTCATAAGAGACCGAAGGAAGCTACAGTCTAACACAACCGTCGATGATTGATTTTGAATGGTTTCATTTGCAACTTTGCTTTATCTTAGATTTTATTTTAAGTATTCAAGCTTCTACAACGAAGAATTTTGTTGTATCAACGAAGAAAGTTCGACTTTTATCTAAAAGCAATTTTTATATGGAATAAAGCATAGACTATTTTCTTATTTACCTTCCTATTGTAAAGAATGCTCCAATTACAAAAGATAGCTTTGGTCTTCAAATAATCTTCAACTTTATTTTTTTTTTTTTTGCTGAAGATGGAATTGAATACATTTTCAATTTGGTGACTATTTCTAGTCCGAATAGCAGTGAAATGATTTTCAGAATGTAATCATAGATATTAATCTCGGTTAAGGTCATAGAAATATTGTATTTTTGGTATAGGAAGCTGCATTGAAAGTGAAATATTCTGTTATTAAATAAAAATAAACCAATGATTAAATCATCATTTTTAAAAAATTATACTTTGCATAATATTTGACGATTATATATGATCAGATTTTTTCGGATTGGATTGATGGAGTAAACAACGCGACCCATGGGCGATCTGCCAAGAGGAGGTACCATCCGAGAGGAATTTCTAAGGAAAACTGTCTCCTTTTTAAATGTTAGATATGTGAAGAAAATCCGGAAAACTTTATTTGGCCAGCCCGTTGATCGGGTGCGAACCCACAACCAACTATCGGTGTTCTGTGGTTTTTAACCATTCGGTCACTGATAGACAGTAGTTAATGTCGCAACAATCTTTTCATATACCTGTGCAAGATTTTTAGTTTTCCTCTTTTTTTGGAAAAATATATTTATAAAAAAAAAACAAATGTAATAGAAATAGTAGGTTATTTTTTAACCTTAATTAAAAAGTTAGTAAACTGGCTCCGCGGCGGCAAAATTTAAAATTTGAAAATAAAAATATAATACTGACCGTTTTTTGATACTCCATTTTAGGGCCTCTCTTTGTTCTGGACTCACCCGTTGTACCTTCCTAGTTACGGAACTGTTAATAACAATTTCAAAATAATAATTAAATTTTACTCTATTTTAAAAATGGCACAACATTATTCTATGCACAACAGTATTATATTACATTATACCATTATAATATTTAATTTAAACAGTTTGATAGATTTTATTTCTATTTTCAACCAATCCTTACAATCCTCGGAAAAACGATTTACATTTAAAGATACATTACCATTCATATAGTAGGATTGCAGAGCTCACAGTACCCGAGTGGATAAACCACTGATCATTGATAGTTGGTCGTGGGTTCAGACCTGACCATGTGCAGTTTTCTTATGTATCTAAGAACTAATTAGGGGGCCAGTTTTCCACTGAAAGTCCTCCCGAGAGGCACCCCATGACAGATCGCTAACGTGTTGCGCTGCTTTATTTCATCGCTGTGAGATTGTAACTAGCATAAAAAATTTCATAAACAGAAAAGTGTACAATGTTAGAAAAATAATGAGTACCCAGCGTCTAAAAAGTAAAAAAAAAAAATGTAAAAAGTAAGTTTACATGTTTAAGGTCATACACGAGATGCCTAGATTATTGAGGATGAAAATTGTCAGATGCTGTCGAAGTAAAGAGAACAGACAGGCATTCTATTATATAGGCTATATATATTTTAATATATTTATAAGAAACATTTAAATTTGACTTAGTAAAAATAATTTTGTCATAAAAATGTAATTAATTTTTATTCAACATAAAAAAATTAATAAATTCTTTTAAAACTTTTCTAAACGTTATTTAAAGAACGATAAGGAGAAAAAAATCTCTTAACTTCTCGAGTAAGTATTTACTTGACAGAAAAGCAGATATTGAGTAGTAAACGTGAGTTCTTTTCATTCCCAAAAAGATATATACAGTTAGATCTAGATTCTGTGAAGTAAATGAGAAAAGAAAACGTATAAACCTAATAGTTTACAACGAAACTATTTACCGGGTGAAAGAGAAAATTGGAACTTACAAAATTTGAGCCTGTATAGATGAAAAAACATTAACTCTTGAGAAGAATAGATTGACGAAAACAATAGAAATCTGTAAAAAAAAAAGTCTAAATTTAAATTGATTTATATTCAATAAAATACGAAAAATTAAAATTACATTTTAACTTTTATTCATAATATATTTACAATTTTTTTTTTCTTTAGATTTTTCGTTGTCAAAATCATATTGCTTTTACTTATGCTTTGTAATAAATTATTATATGTATATATATTTATACATATTGTATACGCTGAAAGATAATAAAAATAATGATAAAAACTTAAAAATTAAAATTTTTTTTCATTTTTCATTCGTTAAGAAATGTTACTGATGCAGATTTTATATATGGTTGCATTAAGAAAAGAATATTTTTAGTATAAACAAAAAATATTTTTCTTAATAGAAAAATAAAATCTATGTGAATTAAACAATAATATATGCTCTCCACCTCAAATTTGTAGTGGTTTGCCCTGTACAGCGTACTTTTCCTGTTAACAATAGAATCGTGCGGTTCATCTAATTTCTTTCAGGGGAAACTTTTGAATTGACTTTCGGTTTGTATCAGAAGGTTATATATAGTTAATCAAGGCCTCCTGACCCTATGCTTTCCATATATAGTCTTGGCTTTCAAATATGTAACACCTTTATCGAGATTAAGAAAAATCGGGCAGACAGACAGACAGACATATGATAGTGGGAATATACTGTATATGTCTGCAATTTTTTCACATTTCAGTCCAATGAAAATTTGATGTCTTTTTACATATTTTACAACCACAGGAACATAACGTCAGAATAGGCCAATGCTTTAAGGCTCTTTTTTAGTCTTTAATTTGTAGTATATTTAAATATATTTCATCGATTTATACATTTTTACAAAGATCTGATTCTAGAAGACTTTTTAATTAATTTACGTATTTGTAGGCAAAATACAACCTAAAACTAAGTCGACTCTGTTAATGTTAACTATGTTTCTATGGTTGGAAAGGTTGTAAAAAGACAGGAATTTTATTTGTCCATATTCTTTAATTTGGAGTATTTTAAATCCTATATATATAATTATATGCAGTCTCTCATTGACTCATTGAGAGTAATAAATAGCCTTCCTCTTCTCACTAGTAGCAGGAGATTCAAACATAATGTGCATGCTGTAAAACACAGGAAGATATAAGATGGTATAAATAAAAAACTCTCAAGAAAGATCATTAACGCATCGGTAGAGTAGCTTGAATTCAAATTCCAACCGTTTTTCAGCGTCGTATGTCGAAACACCGTAATTCCAGAAGCGTCTGTACAATTAAATATAAATAAATATAATTGAAGATCTTAGGGTAAAAAACATTGTTAAGCATTGTTGAATGTCTAAAAACGCAGGGCTGATGTAATTTCCAGACTTTTAGATTGATTAATATTAGAAGTTACTAACTTCTGATATTAATCAGTTGTGATCCGTCCTAAAATACAAAGTAAATTTGAAATTTTTGAGTGATTTTCCCAGAAACTTGAAAAACGATTTAACATGTTCTTGCTCAGTGTTCAATTATATTCTAGTGATGTATATTTATTTATAGAGTATAAATTGAATATAGACGTTATAACTTAACAATATTAATTAAATATTCTTTGTATAACATCAATATACTTATTTATTCCATAAAAATAAATTAAATAATGATTTATTCAATCAAAAGCGATTTTAATTATGTTATTGAATTTAATTTATTATAAATCATACACAATATTTAATATATCTATGTTTAGTATTTTTTAATTTTTATATCAAGTTTACCAATTCTAAAATATAGTTAATTTATATTAAATTAATAATTTACATTTTTGAAGAATCATTTTTTCTTTTCACTTACTCAAAATTAAGAATGATACTATTACTTGCTTTGCTTGTGAGACTTTCCTTCATTTACTTGCTTCTTTTAATTTAACATACAGACAGACCCCAAAATCAGTCACCTTTTACTTCATTTAATTTGCTTTTAATTTTTATATTCAACAAATATCCAGGCCCCAAGAGCTACTTCATTTCCTTTGTTCTTAAATTTTTATTCAATGTGCAGACGAACCCCAGAGTCAGTTATTTTAAGAGCTTAAAAATATGCATCGGTTAGTTGACTTTTGGGCCACCATGTATATTCTATACGATTTTTAAATAATAATTATAACTTGCTTATTAAACGCTTTTAAACTTCCTTAATAAAGCATAAAATTGTTTAAATTCATTATTATTTTCTTAATATCATTTAAATATTTACGCAGATATGACGTATACATCAATGTNTTTTAAAAATGGCACAACATTATTCTATGCACAACAGTATTATATTACATTATACCATTATAATATTTAATTTAAACAGTTTGATAGATTTTATTTCTATTTTCAACCAATCCTTACAATCCTCGGAAAAACGATTTACATTTAAAGATACATTACCATTCATATAGTAGGATTGCAGAGCTCACAGTACCCGAGTGGATAAACCACTGATCATTGATAGTTGGTCGTGGGTTCAGACCTGACCATGTGCAGTTTTCTTATGTATCTAAGAACTAATTAGGGGGCCAGTTTTCCACTGAAAGTCCTCCCGAGAGGCACCCCATGACAGATCGCTAACGTGTTGCGCTGCTTTATTTCATCGCTGTGAGATTGTAACTAGCATAAAAAATTTCATAAACAGAAAAGTGTACAATGTTAGAAAAATAATGAGTACCCAGCGTCTAAAAAGTAAAAAAAAAAAATGTAAAAAGTAAGTTTACATGTTTAAGGTCATACACGAGATGCCTAGATTATTGAGGATGAAAATTGTCAGATGCTGTCGAAGTAAAGAGAACAGACAGGCATTCTATTATATAGGCTATATATATTTTAATTATTTCAATAATGTTATTATTAAAAATTTAATTTACCATATTTAATTGGTAAATTAAATTTTTGGATTTATGAGATAAGGCAACTCAATACATGGACAATCTGCCAAAAGAATGTGCCTCCCATGAGGACTTCCTATAAAATACTGGCTCTTATTTATGCGTTACACACGTGAGAAAACTCGGAAAGCCAACCCGCTAGTCAGGCGCGTACCCACGACCAGTGTTTTGTCCACTTGACAATGGTAGGCCTACCATATTTAATTATTTCAAAATTAAAATAATAACAAATTAATTTGTTTTAATATTTATAATTTTAAAATATGATTTAAAATACAGTTGATCTCGCTTTTACGATCAAATTTTTAGAAAAGTGTCGTAAAGTGAGGAATATAATTATTGAAAAATTCATAGAATTCCTATCTAAATTAGAACTTAAACATACTTTCTGCTATTTAATAATATTAATATAATATAATAACTAAATAGAATAATATAATGAGATAGAAATAAACATATTTTGTTATTACAATCTTACAACATTTTCTTTTATCGTTATTTACAGTAAAGTTACGAGTTTAGAATCATATTATACGTGGTATATTAATTAATACAGTGGGTGATCAGTTAACGAACAAATCGGATAACGAACACTTTCGCGAAAGATTTCTATGATCGGACAACGAACATATGATCGGATAACGAACACTTCACTGAACAGACATAAAAAGAAGCGACGAAAATAGCAAATACCGACTGATTTTCCTTTGTTTTCAGGTAACTTTTTGGAGACCTCAACGTCGCCAACGCGGGAGACCTCAACGTCGACGCTCAACCTAATAATATACTGATTAGATAGTATCGCTCGAACTTTGAAATACTCCCTTGTCATTCCAACCTTTTATTTTTCTGACAAACAATTCTTTTATAGTATTCGCGAGACTGTCGGGCGGGCACTCATTAAGTTTTGTGTCGGTTTTTATTTTCGAAAGGTGAGAGTATAATAGCAAAGGTGGGCAGATGTCTGATGTCTGTGGTTGCTGGGCAGTATGGCTTGAACAGGTCTGCAGTAGGCTGCAGTTCAATCTTATCTAAGAAAGATACTGTATTATCAAGAAGACTCAAGCAGCTAAAGGAGTAACAAAAATCACATATGAGAAATAAAGAACATTGAAGAGCTCATAATGGAACCTGAAACGGATCTGACGACATAAGAACGTCAAGAACTCTTGAATAGAAAACATCA